GGGATGGCAGAACATTGATGAGAAGAGGGTGGCTGGACCACAGAGGCCCTGCTTTTCTGTAACGGAATCAGTCGCCAATTCAAAGCAGCAACCCACACTGTAGCTTCCTTAGAACAGCCAGCACAGTAAAGAACGCTTGCTCTGTGTTTTGAAAACCATTTTCAAATTGTTTCATCTCCTTTCCACTTGTTCTTTGCAAACACATCACAAGACACTTATGGAACAAGAAACAAATTCTCTTATTCAAAGGGATTCTCTTACTCATGATCGAGGTCCATCAGATTAATCTTAACAGAAAAATTGTGATCCACTGTTACTCGCAGGTATTTTTAAAGACGGCCTGAATGACCTATGACAGCTCTCTTTCTAAAGGATAAGGTATGTAAAGGAAGCAGTCTTGCATTAGAACAATAGGTGTAGCTGGAAAAAGTAGGTAAGAAGTGCTTGGCTGCCCACAGACTTGTGTCAAATATCTGCCTGGATAGTCCAACTAGCATAGCTGCCCTAACAACAAACCATGTTAAGCAAGATATGCTTGAGACATTATCTAGCAAGTAGGTGTGCCAAGTCAACAAGAATTAGGTATCTTAGAGCACAGTTTAGAGAGTCGAATGAAGACACTGAACGAAAAGTTATTTAGACTGAGTCAAAAGAAAACAGTAGCCTCATGGACTTTGGTGAAACAACTGTTCGCTCTCTTTGTTTCTAGAAACCTCACCTGCATGGTCCATTGTTTCCTCAAAGATAACAGTTAACATCTTAGATTGCTTCAGACATGTATTCATGTAAAACTGTATTAGATCTAGAACATTTGAAAATATCTACCTTATCTAAATACTCATCTAACCTGCTTTTCTAAGCTAGGTTCTTACACGTTCATTAATGTATCCCACTGAAATTAACTGTTTAAGTGAAGACCAGAACAAGAAGAGGATTGAAACACTGACCTTCTCAGCATATCCATTCAATAGTTTTCCTTCGCAGCCGCTTAAAAGATCAACTTTTTTATTTGGCCTCATACTAATGAAGTTCTTAATGAGCATGTTTTTTTTTCTCTGTTACATTTTTATATGAGCCTTGGCCTTTTCAATGTTGGCCTTGCATGTTCAAATTACCTTTTCATATTTATAGTTTGACCTACTCTCTAGTTTCTGTATCGTCTAAAGATTTCAGGTCACTGAGCTCTTCCTTGCAATTCAGCCAAGACTCTTTTTTAGAATTTCCAATCTTTCTTTAACAGTGAGACAGTTTGCATTTTTATCCTTCAATGTGAGGTTTCTTCTGAACAAAAAAACCCGTATTTTATAACATTACTAAAGTAATGGTACCCTGTACATGTATTTTATTAGGAGCAGTTATATAACTTTACAGCATAGACTGCATGTATGCTTTCGTATGACATACTGAATTCTCTCATCATACACAACTGAAGTGAAAGTTAAGCATGTTCATTAATATAGTTTCCTCTTCTGTAAATTTGGAAACTTCATAAAGTTTCAAACTACAAACCACTCACAGCAGGTTATCAGCCTTAATCTAAACAGGCTAGCTATAAAATACCACAAGTTGGACATAATTTGTTAGCACAGCGTCTAAAAAACTCCCTTGGGTATTTAATCACTCGGGGAGAAAGAATACCTAATTTTTAAAATGTAAGATATGCATATATAGCAACTGCGCAGTACGCTGAAGCATTCGGAAAGCATTGGCCATTTGTTATGACAGAACAACTTTGCTGTTAATCACTGCTTAAATATTTGAAATTAGGTTGTCTTAAATCCCTTAAGACTACACTATTCATGTTGAATTTAAACAAGTTTATCATGGCACGTACACAAGACTGAAATGTATTAAACAAAATATTACGACAAAGAACTGCACCGTTTTTCTAAAACTAAGAGAGACAGTCAGACAGATGGAATGAATCCATGAAGGTTGTTCCACAATAGTAATTTAGGAAACCAAAAAAATGAACACATTAAGATATCAGGTACCCTGCAACAGTAGGGATTTACTAATCATTGAAGGCCTCCATATAAACATAGTAGCAACCTTTCCATTCAATGAATGTATGTTTTAGGTCCTTCAAGATCTTTGGAATGAAAGAAATATTGCAGATGTACACACCATTAAATACAGTTTAAGGTGCATACACAAGGGAAAGCACGATGCAGCGGACCATCAGAAATGGTCCCTTCAACAGATGATGCTTTAACAGTGTTGCACTGCAGTTCTGGGAACTTCAGAACAAGACATAGCTTCATATACCAGCTCCCATGCCAATGCAAGTATACAAACTGTAAAGAGAAAAACTAATTTCATTCCAGAACAAAGGCACTGTACTGAGGAAGAAGGCATTTTCATATAAAGAAAAAATGCTCTAAAGCCTCTGAAATATTAGAACTATTTAAAAGGAAAATGATAAAAAAAATCACTTTTATAAAGTCCAAAAAATCAATACTCCGAAGTAAAAATTATTGATACCTATTTATTTAAAAAAGCAAGGGAGCACACAAGCTCTTTATCTGTTAAGAATTAATTGCCTCATACAAGCATAAGCCGTCGGGAGAAACCTCAAATGATCTACACAGCAGGAAAAATATAAGCTTTTAACTTTTTGTAACATATAACGGTTGTCCATAACTTTTATAGGACGTTCTATATTTTAGGTTAAATATTTTGCTTGCCTTCCCTGAATATAAAGAAATTGTAAGGGATGACTCTGGAACTATTGAGTTCACAAATCAAACAATTAGTTTCATCAGTTCTTTCAAGTAAGATGCAAATAACCCCTAAAAATACGCTATTTGTGGCCCTAATGCTAGAGACAAAGGATTAATACTTTCTCTCTAGCAGTTACATGTGTGGTTGCAATTTTAAGACTCTGTACGGAGACAGAACTTTGCAGAGATCCCACAAACACCTTGACTCTCTGAAGGAAGATGACTGCACAGATGAAACCAAAGACAGCATCTTGGAAAATAAAAGAATGAATAAAAAATGTCCAAGCTGCAAAAAATTTCAGAAGCTTCCAGAATCTAATTCAAGCTATAATACCTAAGAAAGGAAATCTAAGTAAGGAATAGCTTAAGGATGCTAGCTTCACATCTACAGACATACAAACACACAAGTAAGAGGACTTCAGCTCTTTGCTTTTGCTAATACTGCAGACACCTGGAAAACACAATTACCTCTCTGTAAAAGCGGGGCACACATCTGTCAATTTTATGTTTTAGTTACTTTATGCTATCCTAACCTTTCCCACATATACCAGAAGGAAAGATCTTAATTGCTGCTTTCTCCTACAGACGTTACTGAATGAATCCCAAAGCAGCACATTTAATCAGAATACCTTCCTCCTTTCAGAACTTGGATGCTAATTTATTTTTACATACTATTGCTCACTTCACCTAGGACAAGGAGGAGTTGGCCAAAGCATTTGGAAACACCTAACCACACTCTGCGAAAAGTCTGTTTCTAGTCCTGATTCTTTAATGCAAAAGATGAAAAATAAGAACTAGTCTAGGCTTACGCACTACAGCACCAAAAAGAAACAACGCTTTTGTACAGCACTGCTGCTTGCAGGAGAGGCTGTGCACTTCCACCAGCATGGCACTGACATGGAAACGCTGTCCAAACCTGAAGCGTTGTCTGTTTAGTTTCTCACTCCCGGGCAAAGAAAAGTCAATAAAGGCAGTTCAGCTTCACATTCATTTCAAGACAAACTGGGCTCTCAGTTCTGCGCCTAGAGCGGTTTCCAGCTCTCTGGGCAGTCTGCAGGAAACTTTCTGTGAGTGCTAAGCACCACACTCGATCTCAGTATCCACAAGCTTCCTCGCCAAATGAAGTCTGGAGGCAAAATAAGCCAGTAAGAACAGCTTAATAACGGATAAATAAAACCCAAAGAAATAGATATACACCTCAAAAAAAAAAATTTTTTTTTTTACACCATCGCCCGCGCCGGCCTCCGCACCACCCTCCCTCCCTCCCTCCCTCC